CTCACTCTCCAGTGATGATTGTTGCTAGTTGACCTAATCAAGTCATGCTTAAGTCTTTCCTGCTCATGACACTAAAAACAGTCATGAGTTACAGAATGCTCAAAGAAGAAAGTACTTGATTAATTTTATTTTGCTACCCAATCAAACCAATCAAATATAAACCCCTGTGTTGACACATATTATAAGCCCTCCAGAATAGGGTCACTGTCTTCCTTGTGTTTCATTTGTTTGGTCACAGTGTCTGGATCGTGCCTTGCTGTCTAGCAGTTTTGTGAGGATACGGTGCTCATGAATCATTGTAGGACAGAATTTTGACAACAGACTCTGTTGTTCATTTCACAAGGGAAAAGGTAATATAGAAATACTGCTCAGATCTATTTTAAAATTAAGCTTGGAATTTTGAGAAGAATTCAAATACCATACAAAGATCTTTTTCACTGATTTTAGATCTATCTTAGACACATTATGGTTACATAGCAGAGTAACTTATCAAGTAGATTTGACAAGACGAGTGTAATATTGATTATTTGTTTTAGTTGAAATATTCTACCTGGGATAAATTAATCAGTGCCCATTATTGAACAAATATGATGATATTCCTATGCAACATGGGAGCAGACTTCATATGTTTATATATAATATACATGAGTGTGTGTTTTAATCTGTCTGTCAGTGTTTATATAGTTTTTCAGCAATGTTGTAACTTTAGAATTCTTCTAAGAAAATCACCCCCGTATCTAGTGCCGTTTGTACTGTGTATCCGGTCTTATGCATGGGATTCCACTGTCCCCTCAGTGAGGAATCTCCTCTCCTTCTGAGTTAGTAGCAGATTTAAAGGAACTGTGATTTCTAGGCTTTTGCTATCCACGTGTTTGGAGTTGGCTGTCAATCAGGATTTTCCCTTTGAGTTTTCATTGTTCAATTAGAATTTTTGAAAATAACTGTTAATGTATTTCACTGGTCTCCCTAGAAACTTGATGTGTTTGTGCTTTTCAGGTTTCAATTTATGAAAATTGTAAATGCACACTTGTTTTTAAGTTGTCCTTTTTCACTAGATATTTGTTTACCTCTTTATAGTTAAAATAATTTTTTCCCAATGAATGAATCAGTGTGCATATTTTAAAAGATACCTTACTTTTTATTTTTCTTATTCTAAAGATATATTCATTGTACAGAATTTAGAAAATAAGGATAAACACAGTAATAACTTAAAAATGGCCTCTAATCTGACCTGGAGATACAGTTGTATGGTTTGAAATTGAGAATTACAAGTCCTCTCACGTTGTTCTTCTTTTTCAAGTACGTTTTGATTACTGAGACCCTCAAATTCCCATATGAATTGTAGCAGCAGCTAGTCAGTTACTGCAGAGGAGCCCGCTGGGATTGTGATCGAGACCACGTTGAGCATACGGATCGCTCTGGGGAGCACTGCCATCCCAAGAGCGCTGTCATCTGATCCAGGAATCTGTGTGGTATGTCTGTCCAAGTATTTAGGTCTTTAATTTTTTTCAAGATTGCGTAGTGTTTACATAGTATTATTTTACTTTATTTTTTTGCCTTTATACTAAGGACAAGTGTGCAAGGTACCGGGATTCGAATTGTATTATAGCCCCGCCAACTGCTGCCACCATGGATGCTGCGGTCTTTCTTTGCCCTCTGTAAAAT